TCGTTTGTGCTCCACCTGTAGTAAATCCACAAGTTTAATGTTACCAACATTATACTATCACAGTTAAAGTGGTGTCAGAACACTGGTATCGAGTATGACAGTGTTACACTTACAGGATGAGCCAGAGCGAGGCTCAGGAGGCATCCAAGCACAAGTGCTACCTTCAGCATGGTTACAGTGATCACACCTGTTGAAAAGGAAATAATAAAGACTTCATTAACAACAGCAAAATCACAACCATCCTCACACATAATCATTATATTAATATAATCACCTTTTAGTCTTGAGCAGAGTGTCTCGCAGATGGTCGAGGAGGTTGTTGTAGTGCTGCTCTGAATGTTGGGCTTTTCTTATATACAGTTACAGGAGCACATGTCACCTCATTAGCATTCAGAATTGTTGGGAATTCCTCTTTCTCCATATTTCAAGGTGTGGCTACTGATCAGAGATGGAAACCACTCCTGGATCAAATGATATGATTCATTTCAGAGCTATTTTAACAATGGCTCAGCACAATTTAACTAAACAGCCAACGTAATTACTTTTGGTAAAAACAGAAATATCAAGGAAAAATGACCAAATCAACAAAATCTGCAAGTCTACAAAATTGGGAAGGCGAAACGCTGATTTTCTGAAACACTCCTGTCGTGGTTTGATGCTGTGCAGCAGACAGAGCAAAACGTTGTCACAGCTGCACCCAGCAAAAATGTCCTTCCTGAAAACAAAAGACTGCAAATGTGTATTTTCCTTCAGCTTTTCAAATTTAGGAAAAGTTTTGTTTTTCTTTTGTTTTTTTAATTTTATTAATTCGTGATGATTCAGGGGGATTTACTTTACTTGTTTGTTTGTTTGTTTTTTCCAAGGAAAATCCTCCATAATCGGCCATATCTTTCAGACTGGAATGTCAATTACCCTTTTCATGCACCAGTATAATGTTGCCCATGTCAACACCTTCTCTTGTCAGAAATGTACAATAAATATAAAGTTGCCAGAAAACAACAACATCACTTTTTAAACTTTTGTCATTTTTAAAACTGCACTAATAATATTAATGACAAGTAAAAAATGCCAAGCTGACATCTAATATATTGATTCACAGACTAAGTGGCAACCTGAGATACAGTGTGTGCTGTACAAATACAATATGATGAAACAGTGGTGGCTCATTCTGACCACAGTCCTCTCAAGGCTCAGACAGACACTCAGAGGTGTTTGGAAACACTGAAGGTGTTGAAATGATCTATCTATCTATCTATCTATCTATCTATCTATCTATCTATCTATCTATTTATAGCCCTTTTTAGAACTCCTTTTAGATAGGAGTTGTGCAAATTTGTAGGAAAACCCAATCAGTCTTTTTTCAGCATTGGCAGTATAAAAACAAAATCGGGGAGTGCAGCAAAATTCCGCCTACCTACTTGTGTTTATACAGAATGCGCCTTTTTCAGGGCAATGGGGGGGCATGAGCAAGTAACAAAACATGTAGCTCAGCGTGTGGCGTAAACAGTACTCTCTCGGTTCTCTCGTAAGTCGGCCTGTTTTTCATCCTGGGATGGGCTGTAAACCACTCTGTCGCAGAACAAAAAAACACCACAGAGTTCCATACAATTACAAAATGCTCCCTTTCACAACCTGGCACAAGTCTTTCATACCATAGGAGTCATTACGAAATGAAAAAAGGTGCTCAGTGTCCTAATTAGGAATTTATGCATTTTAATTTTCATTAACGTTGTATATTAAAGGGCCAGTGTGTAATATTTGGCATGGTTTATTGTCAATCTGAATCTGAATCTGAATATTCTACCCATTAATATGTTTATACAAGTGTATAATCGCTATAAAATAAAATTCGTTTGGTTTTCGTAGCCTTATAATTATGCTTTTATATATATATATATATATATGTATATATATATATACATATATATATATAGCAAGGGCTTTGCTTTAGAGAGGTCACCATCTTGTGCCGCCATGTATCTAAGGCAGTCCGAGCGGACAATCCAGCCAGCCAGACAACGCGTTTCGCGTGTATAAATGAACCAACGAAGACAGCAGAAGGAAGGAAGAAAGAGGAGGAAACAGCAGAGAGTGTTAGTAGTTCATCGATAGAGAGTAGTGAAAAGTTTTTTTAGTTATAAAGTTTGCGAATGGACCACACTTACCATGCAACAGGAGAGAATGAACCCGAACCGTCATCTGCGAGGAAAAGAAGACGCAACTTCACTCCTTGTGATGCACTCTCTGCGGCGCTTTTCCTCCTGGTGATATATCTCCCCAACGATGGTAGCAGTAGCACCGAATCCCATTCTGTGCATTCAGCCTCTCTTCTCGCCCGCTCAGCATCAAACACATGGAGTTCCTCATCTGT